TTTTATTTATAGGGAAAATCCACATTCTGGAATTTAGGTCCTTGTGCCCCCTTTCCCTCTGCTATGCAACTATGGACAAAGTATTTTACATCTTTGAGCCTCCTGAAAAATGAAGATTGAACTGCATGATCTCTCTTAAGATCCCTTCCAGGCCTAATGTTATGTGATTCTGTAATTCTAGTTTTAAGGTAATTATCTTGAACAAGGCTTATTTTTTTGCCACTTATATTTAAGAATAGCGTCCCCTAAGACCCTCTTCTGATGCTTCACTGTGGTGTGGACATGACCCCCTGTAATCATGAAGGCTTCAGGTGTGAGCCCAGTGATAGAGAAGCTTATCGCCAGATGTTGCAGTATGTTGAATTTTTTAGCTACACCTCTCAATGATAGTATCCCAAGATGTAGAAAGGTTACAGTCTTATTAGTGGAAGTGGGTTGGGTTGGGGGCAGTGATGACATAAAAGGTCTTTGGGAGAGTTTAAATGACAAAATTGAGTTTCTCTTGACCTTAGTTCCCCCATTACATCCTGCCTTTTGTAGAATGCAGTGATTATTTGATTATTTTCTGTATCTGCCTGAATTGAAAGAAAGGAATGCTTCTCATTCTCTTCAACATTCCTCCCTGCCTGTTCCTAAATGGGTTATTATTTTAAAGGTTATACAGCTAATATGTTTTTCTCGGGTGTCTATGATGATTGTTGGGGATTTGCAAACATGTACACAGTTCAGGAACCGAGGGTCTTTGTGGGTGCTTTAATAGTAACGTTTCCATCAGGAGTTGGGAATGTCACTGTCTTGCTGATTATGTAGTAAGCTGCTTCTCCACCATTCATTTGTTTCCATTCTACTAAAATAAGGGGTTTTTGTTTTGTTTTGTTTTGTTTTTTGCGGGGGGGTTTCCAGGAGAAGAGTACCAGGTTGTCCAAAAGGAGGTGGCAGAACTGCTTAAGGGCAGAATTCTAGTTGGACATGCCCTGCATAATGACTTAAAGGTACATGATTCCAGGTAGCCTAACTAGACCATCTTTATTTTTATTGTAATTGTTTATGCCTATACTGTGCCAGTCAGCTTACGTCTTTGGATGTATACCAATGACCTAAACTCTGAGTAAATGTTATTTGTGTTACAGAACTCTGTGAAGGGGTCCCTTCACAGAGAATCATTCCATTATTTTCTTTTTGAGTAAAAAGTCTTCAGGGTGGCAGTCAATTTGGGGTTTCTCCCAGGTGATAACAGGGGATTGAACCTTGCCCTCGGAAGCTCTGCCTCCATGTCTCCATGGATGTACTTTTTTTCTCTAAGAGTATTCTGAGAAACCCAGGCATGATTTACAGTCTGCTCTGATAACATGTTTTGTATTACTTTCTGTCATTTATCACATTTTGCCATTATGTTGTTATACTGTTATGTAACTATAAATATTATATATTATATCTAATCCCATACTAGATGATGAGTTCATGAGAGTAGGGTTTCTGTCTTAGTCACTTTCATCTCCCCTACAGTTTTGGAGTGGACACTCAGTAAATATTGAATCAGCTTGAAACTTAAAGAAAAAATGTAACTCTGTAGGTTGTGAGTTGATGGTTTATGTCAGCCTGTTCCAGGCTTGTATAGATTGGGTGGCTGTGATGTCACTTGGCAAGATAACATCAATTTATGTTTGTCTCAGCTTTTTCGCAGGGCAGGATGGGAGTCTGGTAATTCAGGTTGGTGATTCTGAATTGTATTTGTATTATTTGTTCCAGATTCTACTTCTTGATCATCCCAAAAAGAAGATACGGGACACACAGAAATATAAACCTTTCAGGACACAAGTAAAGGTAGGCAACATTTTTGGAGAAAGAAAATCTGATTGTTCAGTGTGTCAGTTTAATCTCAGTTCATAACAGTTGTTAGAAGTTCTGCCTTGTAGTGGGCTCATAGGTTTGATTTGTTTTTAGTCCTAGAAAAGAGAGAATAGTTTTAAATAAAGGAGATTGATGTTGGCTGCCTTCCTTTAAAATGTGTTAATGTCTGGTTTATTTTTATGCTGTGATGTCTGTAATAGGATTTTTGCATATGTATGTTATGTTATTACAAGTGGCTTTCACAAGAGAATTAATATTTCTTTTCAAGAAAAGGACAGTTTGAGAAATTGAAGCAAAGAAAGCTTAACATTGAATAATTATGCTTTATCCATATCATTTCATTTATATTCATTGCTAAATATAGTTTGATAAGATGGATACCCATTGAATTTTTGCTAGTGACAGTGAACAGAGATAGTGTGGGCTAGTAGAGGGTCCAGCATTGCAGACAGGAAGGCTTAACACTCCTGACATCCCAGCTGTGTGACCATAAACCAGTCATGCAACTTTTTACTTCCCCAGGCAACTCTGTGAGACCATAAGTTACAGATAATTTGCTGTTTGACATTGGCAGAAAGGTGAGAAGGGAAGGAATCAGTGACCAAGTAGTGCCATGGTGGTGCCTTAGGAAATATCTTCATTACTTGGCAGGAGCAACTGTCCTGAATACTAGAGAGACTTAGATTTGTTTGGTGACAGGTAAACTAGAAGACAAGTCACGTAGCTGTGATGTGATATCCCATTTTTTCCTTACTAGATCCATGATTGCCATTAAAACCAAAATTGCCTTCTTCTTTACCTTTTAGTCTGTTCTTTCATCCCTGCCTTGACAAAGAGTTTAAATTATTCCCAAACAGAAAATGTTTATTTAGTCCAAACCATCTCTGTAACCTTCATCATTTCCTTTGCAGAGTGGAAGACCATCTCTGAAACTACTCAGTGAGAAAATTCTTGGTATCAAAATACAGCAGTCAGAACACAGTTCGGTAGGTGACCTTTGTGGATAATAGTGTCAGGCAGAGTTCACTGTCATCACTGACCATGGCTTTCTGTTCCTATCCTTGCATCCAGATTGTCTTGTAAACTATCACCAAGCAAGTGGGAGGCATAAGAATGGATGTGTAGTTAAAGGCACCTGAATTACATGATACCCTGCCCCTTTACTTTGACCTCCTTTTCTAATTTGGTTTGGTTCTCTTAACTTCCAGATTCAAGATGCCCAGGCAGCAATGAGGCTCTATGTAATGGTGAAAAAACATTGGGAAGGAACCATCAAAGACAAATATAAACTGCAAAAGGGAGAAAAGGACAAAGCCTAACTGAGCCCTCCTTGTCACTGTTTCTGCTGCCTACCCTGCCTGCTGGCTTGTTCCTCAACAGTGTGGTCTTGTCCCCTGAAGAAACAGAACAGGGCATTCCTGAGCCAAGGGAGGGGCGGGTATTCTGTCAGCTTTCCATCTCTCTTATCTGTTGGTAGTGTGGCCTTTGGAGTTCGCACAGATGAAATATTCCCAAAGATGGTCACTTTTTGGTGAAACTTTCAAACTTGTGGCTACAGGGGATGTGTGCTACTAAAGGGGAATTTGACCCTCTTCAGATACAGTAGCTCTTGTCCAGGAGCTTACAGTTTCTTGTTTACGTTCCTTTCCTGTGTTCCAGAAATCACTGTTAATATCAGAGGCATAATAATTAGAGTGTAGATGAGGGGGTCTTTGTGGAGGGGTGGCCTTTTCTCTGGGTGCAGAAAGTGAAGATCAGAGACTGGTTCTGGGCTTCAGTGAAGCTGTGCAGCTCACAGTAATCCATTTTCAAAATTAAATAATTTCATCAGCACATGCAGTGATGTGATCACTTTGGACCATTAGGTCTATGCACTTGTACAACAAGAGGCATATAGTGTGTAACTGGCCTGTTAATTAGGATCACTGCTGTCTTACTCTCCCTTCCTGCTCTCTTGAGCTTTGTATGCAAAATGGTGTCATGGACCATGCTGGGGGTAAATGGAGGGGTGTAATATCTAGGGGTCCAGTGGACCCAGAGCAGCCAGACAACTCTGGTTCTGTAATTTACCTTGCTAAAAGTTGACTGGAGAAGCTAATAGAACTGAGTATTTCCCGCCCTAATCAGTTGTTGCTGCCACAAGGAAAAAATCTCATCTGTATCTGGCAGACCACAGATGGAGGCATATACACCTAATACTTTCCTAGGAGACTTATCTGAAAGGTATCACATTGTTTCTGCCCAAGTTTAAACTTTCCTTTTTCTGATTTGGTGGTGTCTACAAAGGGTACTTACTTGTTTAAAACTGGAGCCCCTGAACTAGACCTCTACTGTGGGAGAATTTTGACCTCCCAGAATCCCTAAATTACATTTAAATTACAATATTTAGATAATGTAAATTAGAAATTTAGGTTGATTCCATCTAATCAAAATGTCTGTTAGTTGTTCCAGTCATAACCTTACTATTAACACAAACATCCTGAAATATAATGAGCACCTCTAAGAATTGCATTCTTAGGGGTTATTTAGGGTTTTTTTGTTTTGTTTTTTTTTTAATAAATAGTTTATCGACCTTAAACGGTATTTGAGCCTAAGAAGTCTCTAAGAACTAAACTAAGTCTGTAAACTAAAAAACTAACAGGTTTGATCACACTTTGAGACTAAAGGATCAGCTTTATAGATGTGGTTCAGGATGACTACCTCTAGACCTGCCTAAGAGTTTATTTTCCTAATATCAGGAGTTACAAAGAGACATACTGTGCTAATTAAAGTGTACAAAGGTAGAAGACTGTTAGTTGTCCTGTATTTTCTGGGTGACAAAGAAAATAGGATTATTTTATTATGTATAATTGTACTGGGTGTATATTATCTGAAGTAAATGCTACTTTGTACTTTTAAAATGAACTTTCTTGTTGATTCTGTTGTCCTCATTTTCTTCCTTGCTTAGGACGTTAATAGCTGATGAAACTTTTTCATCAAGTGCCATTAACTCCAAAGAACTCTTGTCATGGGAGTTGATCAAAGGCTTATGAAACACTTAGGTTCTACAGGATTAGCCAACCCTCTGGTGAGAGCACTGACCAGAATTTCCTTTGAACCCTGAATCCAGTCCAGACTCAAAAGTTTTATCAATTTATATGCACTAAAGATAGGTGAAATTAATTATTCCCCTTTATTATATATTTTTGAATTCTTGTTAGAGACAGATTGCTAAGTTCTTCCAAAAATCTTTACAATTAAGGAAAGGTAGCACTTTCACTGGCTGAGTATGTGGTGATAAAAGAACAGGGTCTTATTTTTTTCCCAGTTAAAGACAAGATGGCACAAGTATGACGTCTCATGAGAGGACAGATATTTTCATTGGTGGACTCTTGTATTTCTTTGTTTCTGAGACTTTTCTGACTTCATTTGGGGAAGTGACTCGTTCATTTTCTTAATTGCCTTGGTCGCAAGTTTTATGAGCTCCTAGAAGTAGAAAACAATATTTGATATTGATTTGATTTTCCATACGATGACACAAAGCTTGGGGAGATTTGTAGGAAAGCAATGACACAGTTTGGTTATAATAGATGTTATGAGAGGCAGCATGGCATTGTGCAAAGGGGACTGGCCTCAGCCTGAAAGGCAGACCACACTGGGGAGTTCTCTGTGTTGAAGAGATCAAAGGTGTGGACGACAAATAAATAGATTTTTGTGCTGCATGAACATAGTATCGAATGGGAACCTTTTTTTTTAATTGAAATTCACATGCAACTGTTTAAATTAATTAAATTTAGCCAGTAACTATACAGACCTGGTGTTGGGGAACCAAGGAAAATAGCCAGAAGATGATTACAGACAGGAGCCTAAAATCTATATGATAGGCTACTAGATTCAACCTCCAAACTTCATAACCAGAAAATATTAGAGGCTCAAAGACTGGCGTATCCAAATGGTTTGTATAAGGATATACCCCAACCTACTCACCTCACTTGATGTAAACCTTGCTTGGATTTCCAGCAGCATTTCATCTATATTATTAGAGAACAACTCTGGCACAATCTCATCTGTTGAGCAAAGGAGAGAAAGATAGCCTTCACTGGTCAATACAAAGGTTTCCAGGGAAAATTCAGTCCCCGAATTCCTGGGTTTATCTTCATTGTATACTTTTTATTTTGTTAAAGTGTGAGGCATCTCAGAGATTATTTTTTTCAGCCTTTCATTTTAGGGAGAGCACCCACTACTGGAAAGATCAGGAAAGATTTCCTATATAGGTAGCACCTAACCTCAGTCTCAAAGGATGGGAGTAGAGCATGTTCCAGGTATGGGGGGCTGCCTTTGCCAAGGTGTGGCAGTATGTTGAGTTGGGAGATAGCTAGTATGCCACTTTTCAACTTTAAAATGTACTGAGCCCCTGCTGTGTTCTGGGTCCTTTGTCAAATGCCTCCAGTCTAGCTGTTGGTTCTTCATTTTTGAAGAAGACCAATAACGTCACCGAGTGATGTTTTGACTTGTGCACGAATTGGATTTTAGTGAGGCAGATGCACAAAGTTGTCAGCCTCATTTTTCCAATCACTCAAGTTCAGTGGCAGGACAAAAGTTAAAACAACTGTGATGACCCGGGATGCAGTGAATTGGCATCTTCAATGTCTGACCAAACTCAGTGCCTGCTTCAGCCCCCTTCGTGACCATTGGTACAAATTGTTCTTGATGGGGTGCTTGTACTTGGACCCCAATTTCTCCCTAGCCTCAGAAACACTGTCCCTGACAGTTTCTCCCCAGCCCAAGGACCCTGTGCTTAGCAATTACTCATGAGTGGGCCCCAGAAAGACCCTTATCTCTCTCCCTGGTGCAGTTCCAAACAGCACCTGAAGGATTTATTAGTTTCAACTGGCTTTGCACTGGGTCATAAAGACATTCTTACCCACTGCTATCCTATCCTACCGCCCTACCTTATTATCTACATTGTGGGCTCCTCGTTAACTGTATTCTAGATTTAAGACATATGTATACTCCCTACCTCTATCTTGTCAAACAAGACATTGACTGGTGGCAGACTGGACAACTCTCAGTTACCCTGAACTCTAGTTGACTTAGTGATGTAGCAGGCCTAAAACCACACCTCCATGTGGCCCCCCCTTGTGGGCTTTTCCTAGTGAACTCTGGGTAAAATGCCTGTGCAGTAGGTACAAGAAGTGCATGTTCTTTTAAGAACTGACCACTCTTTAACCACTCCTAATCCCACCCTGAATCCCCTAGTTAGCGTATTTGGCGCATGTTTTATTGTATTTTATCCTATATAAACTTTAGCTGTACCTTTTCAAGGTTGCAGGATCCTTTAAGAATCCTTGCTCTCTGAAAAGCATAACAATAAACTTTGCCACCTTGGCTTAAAGAATGCTTGAGTCTGTGAATTCATTCCGGATGACCCATCCTGTAATGCAGTCTTTGAGGAGTCACAACCTCTCAACCTCTCAGCCTGCAACATTCTCATCTGCCTGTTCCACTGAAGTGAGGGTAGGGGTGGGAGGAATAGATCTCCACATGCTTGAGGTAAGAGTTCAGGGGTGGGGTACCTGCAGCCCCAAGGCCCCACGTGGCCCTCTAGATCCTCAAATGTGACCCTTTGACCGAACCCAAACTTCACAGAACAAATCCTTTTATTAAAGAATTCAATCGAAGGGCTGCAGTTGAAGACCTAGAGGGCCACATGTGGCCTCAAGGCCGCTGGTTCCCCACCCCTGAGATAGACATTGCCCAACTTGCTGACAGGTTTGAGGCCTATTAGTTATCCTCAAACCGGTTTTGCACCATCTGCTGAGATGGTTTTACCAGAATGTGGCCACTTTCAATGCTACAGCTTCTTGGAGCCACAGTTGAGAGTTGGGTAAAGGTGAACACCAAAGGTGGATAAGCAGACCTGAAAAGGGCTTGGCAAGGACTCACACCAGAGGTGTGAGTCCTTGAATACAGTATGAAAGTGCATAGAAGCTATGGGTTTGGAAGAGAAAGGTCTGCAAAGTTCAGAGAAACTATATGTAGACTAAAAGGTAGAATTTCAATGGATGGTGATAGGGGGGATCAGATGTATAGGGAACAGCCTTAGTAAGAGTATGGAAGCAAGGAAATGGGAAACATTTTAGGATTGGCTGAATAGTCCAGTTTTGATATGTAGAATGGTATGAGCTGACGATAGCAAAATAAATTGAAACCATGTGGTGGCCTTGAACAATAAGGAGTTTAGCCTTATCCTATAGGCAGTGGGGAGCTATTGAGAGTTTTTGAGCAAGAGCTATACATCCCGAAGAAGAGCTTAGTAGCCTATTCAAGAAAAAATGAAGAGAGGAGAAACTGGAGACTTGCTATGGTCCGAGGTGTGGTGCTCCCCTGCTTAGGTGAGACATGGAGTGGAACACTGCCATCTGCTGGCTATCTGGTCTGATGCTACAGGAATGGGTTCATTCAATGCTCCATCTGGTCATGAGGAAAATGGGGGCATTTCTCTTCTGATTCTTTGCTGTTGGGGAGAAAGGCAGCAAGAAGGCCAAGAACTTACCATATAAAACAAGCTCCAACAGCAGCATGCACATGTTCTCCACCACCTCTGGGTCATCCTTGTGTGCCTGGTAAGTTACCTTGATCAACGATATGCCAGGACTGTCCTCATCGATTACTATAATCCGAAAGGCTGCCAGCTCTGAAGAAAGGGATGAGAATGTCCTAAAGACATACATGGCTCATTTCATGAGGGTATGGCCACATGGTCATCTCATGGCAAAGTAAGTGTTACCATCAGTAATAGCCTCCCTCCCTGGGCTATTTCCTCACCCTGAGGACACTTCTCTTTTGACATCCAGGATTTTAAAGAACCTCAGGGCTGAATAGGAATCTTGGAGATAAAATCCAGCTCCCTTATTTGACAGGTGAAGAAACTAGGCCTGGAGAGTAGAAGAGACTGTCCAAAGAAAATGTGACTCAAGTGGAAAAGCTAGAATTAAAACCTAGGCGTACTGACTCTCACCCCAGTCATCTTGCCATTCAGTGCCCTACCTCTCAGGCTTCTGATCTCTGCCCAGGTCTACCTTACCTGATTTCAGGAAAGGAGGTCCAGTTACTTCCCATATTAATGATAGCAGTCACTCATTACTGAGTGTGAATGTAAACCACTATTATCTAGAATGAGGACATTAGAGATAGAAGAGACCTTAGAGAGCATCTAATCCAATTCCTTTGTCTTAGAAATAGGGAAACTGAGGCCTGGAGAGGAAGTAATTTTTACAAGTTCACATAGCCAGTCAGTAATAGTCATTGGATTTGCATTTGAAGCTCTGTCCTAGCTCAGCAGGCCCCTAGTAACCAGATTACACTCTGCCTTCACCTACCCACCCACCCAGGCTCTCACCTGAAGTCCTTGCCAGGCTGGCCAGCCCCAGATAGGCATTATTCACCAAGACAGGTCTTTGCATATGCAACTGGATACATTTCAGCAACAGAAGCGTCACGTGCTCAAATTCACCACCCTCTATGCAGCCTGTCACAGAACCCACATATGCAAAGTGGTCATGGGCCGAGCGTGGACCCAACCCAGCTTCCCCTAGCTTATGGCATAGTAGCTGCCTGCATGAACCCTCACCTTTCAAGGACAGCACCCAGAGGGCGGAGCAAGCAGATTCTGCTCTGTCTCCATCACTGAGGTAGATATCCAAGATCTTCAGGGTGAGCTGCACAGCCTCCTTTAGGGGTGTCTTGTTTACCAGGGCAGCTAACCAGATGGGAGGTTAAGGTAAGTGCGTAGTTTCAAGACCTGGGAACAGTCACTAAGGCAGAAGACTTGTAGAAATGTGGGGAGCCTGTGATTCTCCTTCCCTATCCTCCAGGCTGTAGAGTTCAGTCATGTTTCATTTGTACTGCCTCCCCAGCCCCAGCCGTGTTTCAGATGTATGAGAGTTGTCTGCAGAAAGGCAGGCCTCTCTTCTGGTGGGCTGATTAGCCCTGTCCAAATATAGAAAGCTATTTAAGGACATTAAAAGAGCACATAGCATTTATATAGCTTTTTGAGGTTGCAGAGCACCTCATTTGCATTCACACATTTGGTCTTCACAACAGTTCTGTAAGGTTGGTCATGTGGGTATTTATTATCCCCATGTTCACAACTAACAACAAATCCCCATTTTACAGATCAAGGTACTGAGGATGTGAGCTGTGGGGAGGCTTACCTACAGTCACATGACTGGTATTAGGGGCAGGTTTCAGAACCAGGTACTGAGCAGACTTCTCCTAACTCTAAGCTCAACATTCTTTCCTCTACACTGTTGTCGCTGCTGTTATTATTTTTGCTGTGTCATGTCCACCTCTTTGTGCCTCAGTTTGGGGTTTTCTTGGCAAGGATACTGGAGTGCTTTGCCATTTCCTTCTCCAGCTTATTTTACAGAAAAGGAACTAAGGCAAACAGGGTTAAGTGACTTGCCCAGGGTCACCCAGCTATAAGTGTCTAAGGTCAGATTTGAACTCACAAATATTAGTTTTCCTGACTCCAGGTTCCACACTCTACTCACTATGCCACCTCACTGCCCCCCACTACACCATACCACCTCTGAAAACCAACATAAGGCTTTGTTTATGGTAATTACTTAATGAATACTTGATTTACCAGTTCAAACTGAGATGTCATATGTATAAAGAAGGCTGCTTACAATATAAATGTGAGGTTACTTCCCTTACTAATGACACCAGTTTGTTCAAACATGTTCGATTCTGAAGGTGGCTTCCACGTATGGTGCTGTATCTTATTTGGTCTTCATGTGAAGCAGGCAGGGATCATCTGCCCCCTAGTATTCCCATTGTCCCCATTTGTGTGTAGGGGAGGTTCCTGTACCTTGGCTGTGCTATACATGAACACACAGACTCCCATTTTCTTCCTCTTCCACTGTGACTCCTATTCTCTTTTTTTTTTCAAGGCAATTGTGATTAAGTGACTTGCCCAACGTCACACAGCTAGTAAGCATCAAGTGCTTGGTCTGAGGTCAGATTTGAACTTAGGTCCTCCTGACTTCAGGGCCGGTGCTCTATCCACTGCGCCACCTAGCTGCCCCAACTCCTATTCTCCATGTCCCAGGTCAAAAGCTAGCCAAAGAGAAATCTTTGGATACACAACAAAGACCCAAGCACCTGGGTCAGCCCACACATGGCACGGATGTGATTAGAGTCATGAGTTTGATCTTCATGGGGACTGATCAGTTTCATTCTGTTTCCTGAGCCACAGACTGCCCCCTGAAGTCTGCCGCCAGGCACTTTAAGAAATTTAATCCATTGATTATTATGGGCCATAAGTAGAAAACAATAGGGATAAATACAATTGGGAATAACTCATATTTCCATAGCATTTGAAGGCTTAGTACAACCATTCCTCATTACTAGATAACATGTTTCACATCCCATAGCTTTGTGGGAATGATGGAATGCTATTAGTAATCTGGTCCAAATGGTTGAAGACAAGTTACAGAGCTTGGTTTACCTTGATGTGTCCAGGGACCAGAAAATGAAAGACTCTTGAAGCTTCTCAATTAGCCCTGGCTCTCAAGGGAGGAGATTACTCGGGGGGGGGGGGGAGTTTAGGAGGAGGAGCCTAGTAGATCAAGTCCAGAGTTTGAGGGGCCTACTCACCATTCACTGTGAGGCTCCAGAGGAGGCCCAAACAAGATAAGCAGATCTGCTTATTATGCGGGAAATTATTCAGACACTCATTGATGTCAGCAAACATACAAAGGTTCTGGAGGTGCTCCATTGAAGCTTCTAACAAGGACAGATATGAAAGGTGTTTTTCAGTTACAGCCAAAACTGCTTGAGGTTAGAGACAAAGCCCAGTGTTTTGTCTGCTCCTCCACACTAACTAGGACAAGATCATCACATCACAGGAGCCCAATCAGTCCTTGGCCTCCTAGGAATCGAGCTAGAATATGCCTTAGAGATCACCTAGTCTACCTTCTTTAATTTAAAGAGAAGAAGCTGAGTGTTTCAGTTAAGTGAGCTGGGAAACACAGGGATGAGATTCACAGCTGAGATTCAAACTCAAGGCCTCTGACTCCAAATCCAATGTTCTTTCCACTCCACCACACTATTTGTTGTACCATGCCTCCCCTGCCAAAGGCCTCGGGGACCTCAGCCTCAGGATGCTACATGAAACACTCTGACCGAAACAAAAGCAAAAAACTGTTGCACATTTTCCCGGAGTTTGGTTACATGGGAAGAGACAGAAGGAAGTCGAGACAGGGATGGAGGAAAGTCCTACCATTGGATGAAATAATCAAAAGCATTTGGCAGACCATGGAGAGCAACTCTTCATTGGTGGGGTAGTTTCGCCAGGTGGAAAGCAGGGCGTCGACAACATGTTTTTCATTCGGTACATTATCTGGATGATCTAAAAGGGCTGCCCGGAGCAAATGGAAAGAACATTTTAATTGCTTAATACAATAATGATACCTTCATTCATAGAGTAATTTTATCTTTACATTAAGATCTCCTACCACATCATGTCCTCCCAACATTCCTCTGAGGTAGGCCTGGGCAGAGATCATTAGCTCCATTTTGCATATGAGAAAACTGAGGCCTAGGGCAGGGAAATTACTTGCCCAATGTTATTCAGCGATTGAGTCAGGAGCAGAACCTAGGTCTCCTGAACTAGAGCCCCAGGCTTTTTCTATCAGATCATGCCTGCCTCTCCACCTGCCCTGATGCATCTCCCTGGATGAAGTCCAGTTCATTCAACTCTATTTCCTGCCTTTAGCAGGTACATACATTAGATCCTCTTGACACTGTCATTCTGGGCCATAGGTGGGAAGCAATCTTGGTATAATGTGAACAGTCCAGACTGGGAAGCCAAAGTAGAGGCCAGAGGAATGTATAGGTACGAGGATCCAGAGATTGACTTTGGGTCAGTAATAGAGGGCTCAGCCCACATAAGCATGCAAGAGCACAATGAAGACAAGTAAGGTCAAGTGGCAAAGCCACTAGGGTATGCAAAGTAGGCATCCCCCCACACCACATCCATAGAGAGGTACACTTTTGGTTTTCATTTTTTATAAATGCTTTTATTCATAATATAATACAATATAATATAAATCTCTACTCTTCAGGGACGCAGGTATTCTTCAATGGAATGTAATCTTGAGAGCAGAAATGGTTTTTTTTTTTTACTTTGTATCCCCAACAACCAACACCGTCCCTGGTACATAGTAGATGCTTAATAAATATTGATTGATTGATTGATTTTGTGATAAGTTACTATATAGGGAGGCTCAAAACTTCTAAGGGGCAGTTCCACACAGGGGCATGAGCTTTGGCTAGAACCCATAAATACCTTGTTCCAGAATTGAGTGGACAGATAGGAAGTTAGTGGACAAGTCCCATGGGTATAGAGAAGGGAGCGAGGGTTTTATTAAGTGCCAACTATGTGGTAGGCATTGTGCTTCACAGATATTATCTCATTTGATCCTCACAACAACCCTGGGAGGTAGGTGTTATTTGCCCCAGTTTATAGTTGGAGAAACTGGGGTTAAGTGACTTGCCCAGAATCAGAGAACTAGTAAGTGTCTGAAGCTGGATTTGAACCCAGGCCCTGCACTCTAGCCAGTGTGCTGCTGGCCAGAAAACACGAAGTAGATAAGTTTAGAGGAGCCAGTGGACCTGAACAGCTGAGTCACTTTGCTGCCCCAGCTCTGGCTGCCTTTACACCCCTCCTGTGCCATTCATCCAGGGTCAATTTCTTAGTGAAACCAGTCAGAGGACAGCCAGCATCAACGCACCAGGGTAAAGAGCTGAAGGAAACTCTTGATGGACATACCTTTGCTCAGAACTTTGGACAGCAACTTGCAGGCACACATCTGGATCTGGAGGTTGTTCTGGTGGCTCAGAATGATGGTTGCCACTGATTCCACCACATCAAAAATCCATGGCAGACCTGGGCAAGGAGGAAGGGGAGAAGGGTGAAGGCCAAGACTGAGCCTTTGGAAGGGCTGGAGACTGGGGAAGGACCACAGGGAGAAGTGCACACTGGACCAGGGATGCATTCCAGAACTAGAAGAATGCCTGTGAGCAGTGACCAAAGCTATTAAGAGTTTAAACAAAGGCTTCACTCCTCTGGTGGCAGGGCCATCACTAAGCCATTCAGAAGCTAGTACAGTTAAAGAAGGTTTGGGGTCAACTTTTTAAAATGCTGATTTTGAAAACCAATACTCTGACTCCCTCAGCTACCCACTGGGAGAAGGGGTTCCCCTCCTCTGGGCTCTGCTCAAACCACAGCTCTGAAAATAGTCTAGGGGATGCTGGATGAGAAGGGTGCCTAAGAACCTGATAATGAGTGGTCACCTGGCTCCTACCTAAAAACCTTATGATCTATGGAAAATCACCTCCATACTTAAAGAGCTGCATGACTCCAGGCAGTTCCTACATAGGAAACTTGCATTGTGGTTATATTTCTGGGGTTATATTACCCATGCAACAGGGGTCCAAATGTTGTCTAGATGGATAGATATGTTCAATGCATTGATGGTTTTGGGAAAAGGGAATAGGACCATTCTCTCCTATTCTCACCACTCTTCTCCAATCCTTCATACCACTCCCATTGAAACATGAAAGAGATAATATTACAAACAGGTAAAACTTCATTCTGTTTTACACGTTAGGAATTAACTTAGAGGACTTTTGTGCTCCAAAGGATAGGAAAGGTTAAAAAAAATAGCAGGTTTTGGAAAAGTTTAAGCATATCCCCAGAGGACAGATCCATAGTGGGTAATTAAGGCCAGGAGGAAAGGTGATGTTTGGCAATGTCCCTAATGACTGTGCTGGCCTACACTAACCCATTTTTCCCCATCAAATCCATGATCCAGAGCTGCAGGGAACAAGATGTTGAGTCAATGGTGTGCTGATAAAAATGTTTAACAACTAACTCCCCACCAAAAAAATTATACCCAGGATACATTTCTATAGATGTTATTTATTTATTTTTTTAGGCAATTGGGGTTAAGTGACTTGCCCAGGGTCACACAGCTAGTAAGTATCAAGTGTTTGGTCTGAGGCCAGACTTGAATTCAGGTCCTCCTGACTTCAGAGCTGGTGCTCTATCTACTGCGCCACTTAGCTGTCCCCCCTTTTTTTATTTTGGAGGCAATTGGGGTTAAGTGACTTGCCCAGGGTCACACAGCTGGTAAGTGTCTGAGGCTGCACTTGAACTCACATCCTCCTGACTCCAGGGTGGTGCTCTATCTACTCTGCCACCTAGCTGCCCCAGGGACACACTTTAAATTTAATCTGCATCATTAAAATTTTCTTCATCACTTTCTCAAGTCTAAATAATCATCAGAATAATAAATTAAGCTCTGATTTGTTGGTTTGCCAATTTCTGAAGTGTGAATACTCACACTGAAAATTTAACAATAGGCTCTCCTGGGCCAGTAGAAGAGCTGGCTGCAACATACCCCTGGTGGGGCCTAGCATATTACACAATATTCATTCTGTTCAGTAGTCCTCCTTTATTCACACCATCTGATCTTTGCTGAGCAGAGTTGGGGGAAGGATGAAGGGTTATGGAAAAAGGAAGGGCCCTTACCTTCATCTTGGTCAACTAAAACCAGAAGTTGTTCTAATGCCTTGATCTGCACCTCAGGTCTGTCCAAGAAGCAATTCATGACCTCTGCACAAAACAAAACAGTACAAACTCTTGTTCAGGATTCCCCAGCAAGATGAGCTTTAGTGAAAGTAAAGGCTCTTTGAAATCTCCATGTTGAAAAAAAAAATCCCTCTTTGGCAAAGATCTCCTGTGACAGGCCAAAGATCTCTTCCAGGCTTTTTTGTTTTTTGTTGTTTTCCTCTCTAATGAAGCAGTGGCACACAGGAGAAAACGATTTGACCTAGGAATCAGGTGACTTTAACTCTAGTCCCAAGTGTGATCCTAACTGCCTGTTGCAAATTTAGGCAAGTAATTTTCCCTCTCTGGGCCTCAGTTTTCCCATCTGTAAAATAAGTATATTGACCTGTAAAATGAGAGGAGTGGACTAAATAGTCTTTATATCCTTTCTAATTCTGATATGCTATGTTCTAAGGTCCCTCTTATCTCTGACATTCTATGTTCTAAGGCCTCTTCCAACTCCAACATTCTATAATTTTATGAGCAAAATTCAGTGACCTGTATTATTCTTTCTTTCTACCTATGATCGCTTATAGTTCACAGTTTCTATTTCAAGAAATTCCAAGGGAACAATTATGGTAGATGGGAGCTTCCTTTGAGAGGGGGTACCATAGGTATTAGTTAGTATTGCTAGGAAAAAACAGAGTCAGTCAATCAGCAAGTATTTATCATGTGGCAAGAATGGTGACAAAATTAAAATAGTTCCTGTCCTCAAAGAAAGGAGAAAATATATAATCCAGCCATTCCTAACCTGGGGTCTGTAAACTTGTTTTAAAAATATTCTGCTAAAGCTTTATGGAGAACAGAAGAATTCATGACCAAATAGGAGATAGAGAATATTACAAAAAGCAAAATGGATAACTTTGATTACATTAAATTGAAAAGTTTTTGCACAAACAAAGCCAATGCAAGCAAGATTAGAAGGAAGATAGAAAATTGGGAAAGAATTTTTACAACTAGTATCTCTGATAAGGGCCTCATTTCTAAAATATATAGAGAATTAAGTCAAATTTATAAGAATACAAGTCATTCCCCAACTGATAAATGGTCAAAGGATATGAACAGATGAATAAATTAAAGACATCTATAGTCATATGAAAAAATGCTCTAAATTGCTACTGATTAGAGAAATGCAAATCAAAACAACTCTGAGATACCACATCACACCTATCAGAGTGGCCAACATGACAAAACAGGAAAATGAAAAATATTGGAGAAGATGTGGGAAAATTGGAACACTAATGCATTGTTGGTGGAGTTGTGAATTGATCCAGCCATTCTGGAGAACAATTTGGAACTATGCCTAAAGGGCTATAAAAATGTGCCATACCCTTTGACCCAGCAATAGCACTTCTAGGGCTATATCCCAAAGAGATCATACAAATGGGAAAAGGACCCACATGTACAAAAATATTTCTAGCAGCTCTTTTTGTGGTGGCAAAGAATTGGAAATTGAGGGGATGCCCATCAATTGGGGAATGGCTGAACAAGTTGTGGTATGTGAACGTAATGGAATACTATTGTGCTATACGAAATGATGAGCAGGTGGACTACAGAAAAACCTGGAAAGACTTGTATGGTCTGATGTTGAGTGAGATGAGCAGAACCAAGAGAACGGTGTACACAATAACAGCCACATTGTGTGATGACTAATATTGCTAGACTTAACCCTTCTCAGCAATACAAGGATGTAAGACATCTCCAAAGGCCTCATGATGGAAAATGCTATCCACATCCAAAGAAAGAACTATGGAGTTTGAATACAGATTGAAGCATACTATTTGCCATTTTTTTTCTTCTGCTGTGTTTTGTTTCCTCTTTCTGGTGGTTCCTCCTATTGGGGGCTAACTAATTCTTACCTATAATATCACTAATGTGAAAATGTTTAATAGGAATATATATGTATAGCCTATATCAGATTGTGTGCCATCTTGGGGAAGGAGGTGAGGAGGAAGTGGGAGAAAAATTTAAAACTCAAAAACTTATGGAGGTGATTGTTGATAATTCAAAATAAATTAATTAAAAATTTTAAAAAAGAACAAAAAACAACCAGTAAAAAAAAAATTCTGATACCTGTATTTCAATATGATTGGTTTCCTTCGTATGCATTTAAAAATACTATTCTGTGACAATTCTACCTAAATTAGTTTATTTATTCAGTACCATACCAATCAAACTACCAAAAAATTATTATATAGAGCTAGAAAAAAATAATAACAAGATCCATCTGGAAGAACACAAGGTCCAGAATATCAAGGGACCTAATGAAAACAAATGCTAGGGAAGGTGGTCTAGCCATACCAGATCTTAAATTGAAGTGTAAAGCAGCAATCATCAAAACTACTTGGTTACTGGCTAAGAAATAGAGTGGTGGATCAATAGAATAGATTAGGTACACAAGACACAGTAGTCAATGATTATAGTAATCTGTTTGATAAACCCAAAGACCTCAGCTTCTGGGATAAAAACTCACTATTTTACAAAAACTGCTGGGAAAACTGAAAAAGAGTGTATAGCAGAAACTAGGCATAGACCAAACTTTTATACCATATACCAAAATAAATTCAAAACGGGTACACAATTTAGATATAAAGGCTGATACTATAAGCAAACTGAGAGAGCACGGAATAGTTTACCTGTCAGATTTATGGAGAACAGAAGAACTTATGACCAAACAAGAGACAGAGAACATTATGAAATGCAAAATGGATAATTTTGACTACATTAAATTGAAAAGGTTTTGCACAAACAAAGCCAATGCAACCAAGATTAGGAAGGAAACAGAAAACTGGGAAAGAATTTTTACAACCAGTAAGGGTTTTTGATAAAGTTTTATCAAAATTATATATTCTCTAAAATATAGAGAGAAATGAGTCAAATTTATAAGAATACAAGTCATTCCCCAACTGATAAATGGTCAAAGGACATGAACAGATAGTTCTCAGATGAAGAAATTAAAGCCATCTATCGTCATATGAAAAAATGCTTTAAATCACTACCGATTAGAGAAATGCAAATCAAAACAACTCTGAGATACCACATCACACCTATCAGAGTGGCCAACATGACAAAACAAGGAAATGATAAATATTGGAGAACATGTGGGAAAATTGGAACGCTAATGCATTGTTGGTGGAGTTGTGAATTGATCCAGCCATTCTGGAGAGCAATTTGGAACTATGCCTAAAGGGCTATAAAAATGTGCATACCCTTTGACCCAGCAATAGCACTTCTAGGGCTACATCCCAAAGAGATCATACAAATGGGAAAAGGACCCACATGTACAAAAATATTTCTAGCAGCTCTTTTTGTGGTGGCAAAGAATTGGAAATTGAGGGGATGCCCATCAACTGGGGAATGGCTGAACAAGTTGTGGTATATGAATGTAATGGAATACTATTGTGCTTTAAGAAATGAAGAACAGATAGACTTCAGAAAAATGTGGAAAAACTGGTATGGACTGATGCTGAGTGAAGTGAGCAGAGCCAAGAGAAGGTTGTACAAAGTAACAGCCACGTTGTGCAATGACTAATATTGATAGACAGCTCTTCTCAGCAATGCAAGGATCTAAGACACCTCCAAAAGTCTCATGATGAAAAATGCTACCCACATCCAGAGAAAGAACTATGGTGTTTGAATGCAGATTGAAGCATACTGTTTGCTTTTTTTTCTTCTGTTTTGTTTTGTTTATTTTTTCTTGTGGTTCCTCCTATTGGTTCTAAGTCTTCTTTACAACATGACTAATGTGAAAATGTTTAATAGGAATGTATATGTAGAGCCCATATCAGATTGCACGCCGTCTTGGGGAGGGAGGGAGGGGGGAAGGAAGAGGGAGAAAATGTAAAACTCAAAAGCTGAGGGAAGTGAATGTTGAAAACTAAAAATAAATTAATTTTTAAAAAATAAATAAATAACAAGAAATAAAAATATTATTCTGAGAAAGGGTCCATGGGTTTCATCAGACTGCCAGAGGGTCCATGACACAAAAAAGGTTAAAAATCTTTAATGAACATATAAAAATATATTAAAATATGCACTAACTAGATATAAGGTAATTTTTTTTTTAAGTGGGAAGGCACTAACAGCTGGAGTTGAGGTAAGGAATGTTGATCAAAGGGCAACTAGGTGGTGCAGTGGATACAGCACCAGCCCTAGAGTCAAGAAGACCTGAGTTCAAATCCAGCCTCAGACACATGATACTCACTAGCTATGTGACCCTGGGTAAGTTATTTAACCCCATTGCCTCACCAAAACACAAACAAACAAACAAACAAAAAGAATGTTGATCAAGAAAGATAGTGCTTGAGTTAAGCTCTGAAGGGAATTAAGAATTCTACAGGCAGAGGTAAGGAGATAGTAGGTTCCTAGCTTGGGGTACAGACCATGCAAAGGTACAGGGAGAAGAGACTGAGTGTCCCAGGTGAGGAATAGCAGAAGAGCAAAACACACTCAAGAAAACTTGTCATGGTCCTCCAATATTCAACACCTGCTCCTCTGGCCTCCTCGTGGAAGTCCAAAGAGGAGGTAATGAAGATAATGGGAAGATTATGTTTCTTTAAACAGAACAAATTTCTGTAAGTAACCCACTCCCAATGCTAATCTCCTAAGAATTCATTCAGAATAGAACATATGACTATCAGCCCAGGTGCAAAAAGTTGCAGCCCTGCCTGCAGAGGGAAGGATAGTTCAGATCAACAGTTCTCAAAGTGTGGTTCTCTGGCCCTTGGACATCTTCAAGATCCTGTCAGAGAATCTTTGAGATCAAAACTATTTTTGTAATAATAATAATACTAAGATTGTGTGACCCTGGGCAAGTCACTTAACCCTATTGCCTTGCAAAAAAAAATAATACTAAGATGATTTGCCTATTAAGATTCTCTTCCCTTGTCCAACCACACATCTACTTGAGGTTGGATTTCTTCATATACTTCAACCAGAACAACATATCACAATAGATCGAATGCAGAAACTGATATGAGAATCCAGTTATCTCCTATTAAACCAGACATTAAAAAAAATTGCAAATACATATAAAACAATGCCACTTTTCTCACTCTGTCTTTTGGCTTTGTAAAGTATAGCTGTTTTTCATTAAAACGCTATTTCTGTTAATGCATGACAAGTTAATTATTGTTATTTTTAAATGGATTAATAACTTTTTTAAATTATTGGTCTTAATTCCTAATTTGGTAAATATTGATAGACCTAACCTAAACAAAAGCTATTTGAGGTCTTCAATAATTTTCAAGAGTGTAAAGGGGTCCTAAGACCAAAACATTTGAGAACCACTAGATGATTAGAGAATGGAACTTCTAGTCCAGGCCATTTCCAAAAAAGGTCACAAACATATGCAAGTATTCCTTACTAAATTAAACTGGGGGCCAGGACTTCAGATATGAGTATGGCTGCTCTCAGAATTAACTTGAATCAAATCTAGGCTGGTCAGCTTGCTTAACATCAGCGAAATTTCATGCTGTATGATTTAGGAAAAAGAGCATCTGGTGAGAGAACTGTAGCCTCTTACCTGAGTCATACATGTTGGTAAACACAGAACAATGACTCACCAGCTCAGCCCCCCCCCCCCCACAGGAGATATAGGGTTTAGGTGGATCTCGAAGGATTTCAGCAAGAGGAGATAATGTAGGGGAGAGTATGGTAGGAGCAAGGATGCAGAGATAAGACAGTTCAAGCTGTGCTGAAGAGACAGACAATGAGAAGTTCAGTCTGGCTAAATTATAGGAGATGTGTAATGGGGCATTGGGAGAGAAGGCTGGAAAGGTGGGTTGGGGTCAGTGCATGGAAGGTTTTTAATGATGGGCACTGGAGTGCCCATCTGTGCACCACTGATGGCTTTTGAATAAGCAGAATCAGAATTGTGCTATAGGAAGATTAATTAAGCCTCCTTCACCCTCATGCTGCTTGACTTTTTGGCAGCATTTGAAATTCTTAACCACCCTTCCTTCCTGGACACTCTTTTTTTCCCTTGACCTCCATGACACTGCGCTCTCTTGGTTTTCCTCCTGCCTGTCTGCCCCCTCTTTCTTAGTCTCCTTCCCTGATTTATCCTTCTCTCATTTTGTGAGTGTCTGACATCACTCTGTCCCTATTTCCTCTTCATAACTTCACTCTCGGGAATAGTATCCACTCCCATGACTTCAACCAATGCTTCTATGCAAATCACTCCCAGATTCAATCTTTCCACTAAACTCCAGTCTGGCATCACCAATGAATGCTTAACATCTCCACTTGGATGTTCAGCAGGTATCTCAAACTCAATATATTCAAAACAGAACCTATCATTTTCCCCTCTAAATCTACCCCTCCTCCCAACTTCTTCTTTTTTTTTTTTTTGATGATACCACCATCCTCCTGGTCATCCATGCTTAAAGCTTTGATTTTTCCTTTTCATTCACACCCTCTATGGGGCAGGAAAGGACACGAACCTCAGCTTGGGGATAGGGCGACGGAAGCTTTATAGTGCTTCTTACACTCCTCCATTCTAATCCGTTCTCAACACCTATTGCTTTTGACCACTACAATGTGCCTTATGTCTATCCCCTCTTCTCCAATCACGCTGTCATTACTCTAGTGCAAGCCGCTATTGCTTCTCTATTGCATTATTGAAATGATCTCCTAAGTAGTCCCATGTCTCCATCTCTACTCCTTTCCAAACTAGCTTCCGTAACTGCCAAAATAATCTTTTGAAGGCAGAGGTATGAGCCTATGGCTCCCATGCTTAAATATTTCCAGGGCTCCCTACTGTCTCTAAGATAAAATACAAGGTCCTGGCACTTAAGGACCTCCACAACCTTTCCAGCTTTATTTCATGGGATTGCCTTTCATGCACTCTAAACTCTAGCCAAACTGGACCAGTAGTCTTCCCCATTGCATCCTGCCCTCTTCTACTTCTTGGCATCCTAAGTCATCCTCTATTCCTTGAACACATTGCCTCCACATTTCCACTTGTTGAAATCTTTCTCTTCTTGCAAGGCCCAGCTCAGGCATCTGTCTGCTCCTGCATGAAGCCTTCTTTGATCCACACTAGCTGAATAATCTCTCCCTACTCAGATTGTCCTAGACCACCTTGAACCTTTCCTTTGTTCCAATCACAGCCTGCCTTTCTTTATACTTATTTCTCTACAGGTTGTGTTCTCTCCCAGTGCCCTCCTCTTCCAAGGCAATTGTAAGAGCCCTGAGGGCAGGACGAGGCCAATATTCACATTCGGGTAGCTAGGTCTTTCCTCCCCTGCCCCAAATTCAGTCAGCATTCATGGTGATCCCACGGAAGCCTGGAGTGAGCCTACTTTCTGCTCAGCAGCCAATTTGGGAACTTTCTGTCATCACGAGGTACAAGTCTCCTAGTCTTGCTTGCATAGTGGGATTCAAGTTCTTCCCACATTGCCAAACAGCAGACCAGAACAAAGGAGAGATTATTTGCACATGGTCCAGTGAATGCCTCTCCAGGCCAGTTCATCGGCATTACATTGGCATGCTTTAAGACAAACACAGCATTTGGCACACATTGGGTGCTTAATGTTTGTTGAGTTGAATTGGCCCTAGGGTGCTAGATGGATTGAGGCCCACGGATTCAAGTGGGCCCAAGGCTCCCATTTTATCACTAAATCTGAGATTACAGTTCCATGGCAGTTGTTTCCATTGGGCTCCTTTTAGACCATAGGTCTCACATGTGAGGAGGTAGGGATGGAAGAGAGATGGACAAAACCTGGAACCAGCTCTCTGTGTCTAAAGAGTGCAGAGCAGGAAAGGACATGGATGGACTACAGCCTGGGGATAGGGCAGAGAGGCCTTGTGGTGCTTCTTGCACTTCTCCAAGTCATCTGATGGAGCCCACCTGATGGTCCCTGACCATTCCCTAACACCACCTATCCCCTTTGCTCCCTGCTCGTCCAGTAACCTATTACATTTGGGAGTCCTCCTTGCAACAGGGTTTCGGTGATAGATGCAGGCCACGGATGCTTTCTTTTAGACAGAGGTATGCCAGAAGCCAACAAACAATCACTTGCAAAGGGCAAATTCATTAGATTCCTGAGAAAGCAAAAGAGAACGAGGAATGAAGCCAGGAATCTACTATGAGCAAATAGTAATTAGAATAACTAACAATCAATACATGCTGTAGGTGATGGATTACAGTTTACCAAACATTTTTACACACAGTCTCCAACTGAAGCCTCACCAAGCCTTGGAAAGCAAGGTAAGTATTATTATCTCCATTTTAAAGATGAGAAAACTGAGGCCCAGAGAGCTCAAGTAACTTGCATAAGACCACCTAGCTAGCTCATGATGGAGTCAGGAATGGAACTCAGGGTTCCTGTCCCCTGAACCAGGACTTGGAACTCTATATTAAAATCATAGAATCACAGAATTTAGATGGAGAAGGGAATTCAGAAGGTATCTAATTAAATCCAGTTCTGAGCAGAAAGCTATCCTCCAATATCTCCAACAAGTGACCTTCTAGCTCATGCATGTAGACCTCCTATCAGAGGAATCCATCATCTCCCAAGGCAGCTCTTTTTTTCTATTTTCTTTTTTCCCCTACTTTCTACAATCTCTAATTTCTACAATTTATAATTTTTTATATTTTTTATATTTCTATTTTTAACAGCTACAATTGTTAACAGATGTTTCCTTTCACCCAATCTAAACCTGGCTTTTTTTTTTACCTTGCACTGTTTCTGCTCTGTGAGACCAAGTAGAACAAGTTTGAGCCTTAATCCACTTGTTAGCCCTTCAGACACTCAAAGGCAGCTATCCTGTTCTACCTAAATCTTCTCCTTGCCAGGCTAGACAACCCCAGTTCCTGTCACAGATTCTTGTCTAGCATCATCTCCAGTCCTCTTAGCATCCCCATCCCCCTTCTCTGGATTGGTTCTAGTATGACAATGCCTTTCCTAAAATGGAATATCTAGAACTGGACACAATAGCAAGGAGAAGGATGGCAAAACCAACATTTCCCTCTATCTGGACATTATGCCTCTACAAATGTCCCCTAAGATCACATTAGCTTCGTTGGCAGCTGCATTACACACAATGATGGTACCCCGCACCTATATAGAGCACTTCTGCTTATTGATTTTTTTTTTCAAAGTGCTTTCACATCAAGAAAAATAAGAGTGAAATTTTAAAACAAAAGCTCAGATCTCACTTTGCTGATATTCTGTCTTCTGGATTAATATGAAGCATTGCTATCAAAACATCAATAATGGGATCAGCTTTGGCTATATCATGCTTCCGAATTTTCTCCAATGCTTTTAGTAACTTTTTAGGATGTTCTCGAATTGCCACTCGTGTAGCCAAGGCATCAGCTTTCTGAGGAGAGAAAAAGGATATTCATTCATCCATAGACTCATGGAACATGAAAGACCCTTAGAACATCAAATCTTAGAATACAGAGCCAAGAGCAGAATGGACTTTAGAACATGGAATCAGAACAGAGAACCAGGAATGGTAGAGATGGAAGGGATCTATTCGTGCCCTTAACTTGTTAATGACCTCTATGCTCAGGGAATGGTGGTAGACAAATAAGACATGGTCCCAGCTCTCAAGGAGCTCAGTAGCAGTGATAATCCCACCATACTCTGTGTCCTGGTCAGATCCCATCTGCACTACTGTGTTCACTTCTGTCACCATATTTTACAAAGGATATTGATAGATGGGAGTACATCCAGAGGAGGACAAGTGGGATGGTGATGACATGATGAGATGGCTTTTTTCCTTGTCAATATCAAATCCTCTGCTTGTGCCCTTGATCCCATCCCTTTCTTTTTCTTCTTGGAAGCTGTTCCCCTCAACCCCTCCCCTCTCTTTCCCTAGTTTTCAATCTCCACATCCAGTGACTTCATTTCTGTTGCTCAGATCTCCTCCATCCTTAAAATAAACAAATGAAAAATCCTTTCTTAAACCTGGAAAGACTTACCCAAACTGATGCAAAGTGAAGTGAGCAGAATTAGAAGAACACTGTACATAGCAACAGCAATAGTGTGATGATCAGCTCTGAATGATTTAGCTATTCTCAGCAATACAATAATCCAAGACAATCCCAAAGGACTCATGATGAAAAATGCTATCCATATCCAGGAAAAGAACTGATGGAGTCTGAATGCAGATCAAAGCATGCTATTTTTCCCTTTCTTTATTTTTCACAGTTTTTTTCCCCTTTTGGTCTGTTTCTTCTTTCACAGCATGACTAATATGGAAATATGTTTTACATTATTGCACATACATAACCTATATCAAATTACTTAACATCTCAGGGAGGGGGGAGTTGAAGGAGGAAGTGAGTGGCAAAGAAGTCCAGAGCAGGGAAACGAGTACTTTCTTCTGAGGGATTCTAGGAAAGCTTTTAGGAAGAGGCAGCATTTGGAATGGTCCTTGAATGATAGATGAGATCTTGCTAGGCAAAAATAGGGAGGGAGAAAATTTGAACTCAAAATTTTTTTTAAAATGAATGTTTAAAATTGTCTTTACATGTAATTGGTTAAAAAAATATTTATTGGGGGGAGGGTAGTCAGAAGCAAAACACTTCTGAGGAGGGACAAGGTGAAAGGAGAGAGAGAATAGAATAAACGGGGGAAGGGGGATAGAATGGAGGGAAATACAGTTAGCAATAGTAACTGTGGAAAAATTTTTGAAGCAAGTTTCTCTGATAAAGGCCTTATTTCTCAAACATATAGAGAACTGAATCAAACATAAAAATAAGAACCATTCTCCAATTGATAAATGATCAAAAGATATGACCAGTTTTCAGACAAAGTAATCAAAGCTATCTATAGCCATATGAAAAAAATATTCCAACTCACTATTGATCAGAGAAATGCAAATTAAAACAATTCTGAGGTACTACTTTATACCTATTAGATTGGATAACAGGACAGAAAAGGTAAATGACAATTATTGGAGGGGATGTGGGAAAAATGAGACATTAATGCATTGTTGGTGGAGTTGTGAAACAATTCAACAATTCTGTAGAGCGATTTGGAACTATGCTCAAAGACCTATAAAACCATGCATGCCCTTCGACCTAGCAATACTACTACTAGGTCTGTATCACCAAAGAGATAAGAAACAAAAAGGAAAAGGACCTATGTGTACAAAAAATATTTATAGCAGCTCTTTTCTGGGGGCAAAGATTTAGAAATTGAGGAGATTCCCATCAATTGGGGAATGGCTGGACAAATTGTGGTATGTGATTAAGATGAAATACTGTTGTACTATAAGAAATGATGAGTATGATGCTCTCAGAAAAACCTGAAAAGACTTACATGTGCTGATGCAAAGTTAAATGTACTTTGTGTACAAAGTAACAGCAATACTGTAAGACGATCAGCTGTGAATGACTTAGCCATTCTCAGCAATACAATGAGCCAAGATAACTCTAAAGGACTTATGAAAATGCTATCCATCCCCAAAGAAAGAACTGATAGTGTCTGAACACAGATTGAAGCATACTTTTTTCTACTTTATTTTTCTTGAGGTTTTTTTTGTCTGTTTTCTTTCACAACATGACTATTATCATGTATAGCCTACATTAAGTTGTTTGCCTTCTCAATAGGGAGGCGGGGAGGGAGGAAGGGAAGAGAGAGAATTTGGAACTCAAAGTTTTAAAAACGAGTGTTAAAAATTGTTTTTAGTACAAGAAGTGAAGTTATTTGCCCAAAGTCCCACAGCACTTATTGGCAGAGCCAGAGAGAGCAATAATCCCCATGACACAGGGTTAAGTTCAGCTCTGCCTCTTAAGAGTCTTGAGCTTTCTTCAACACTTAACTTAGTGACTGAAAACACTTTTTTTAAACGGTCACTCCCTTTAAGTCCTCATCAGGATCCTCTCGCCATTCATTCTCATTCACTTTTCCTCATATGGTTATAGTTAGTGTGTACTCCATTCTTCTGCTTCTGCTTTTTCATGCTTCCTATTGATTCATTCATATCTTTCCAGCTTTATCTATTCTTCATATTTCTTGGTCTTAACTGCATGACAGTATTCAATTAGATGAATGTGCCATAAATTATTTTAATAGGATTTTATTTTTTCCCGGTTGCGTGTCAAGACAATTTTTGGCATTCATTTTTACAGGATTTTGAGTTCTGGTTTTTTCTCCTTCCCTCCCTCCCTCACCTCCCCTCTTCCTAAAATGGTGAGCAATTTGATATAGGTTGTACATGTGCTGTCGTGTAAAATGCATTTCCTTATTAGCCACATTGTGAAAAAAGAAACAGATCAAAAGGAGAAAAAAAACACAAAAAAATGAATAAAGTAAGTGGGAAAACATATGGTTTGGTCTGAAAAATTTGTTTTTACATGTAACTAGGGGAAAATAAAATACTAAATTAAAATGAATAAAATATTAAAAAAAACCTTTCATTAACCCTGTCATTAAAGCCAAACACCTAAAAAAAATTGTCTCCACTCATACCCTTTCGCACCTCTTCCTCCCTTCTTAACCCCTTGCAGACTGTTTTCTGAATTTTCATCACAGACTGCTGCCGTCTCTGGCATGTTTTTCTTACTCACCTCCATTTCTTGGTATCCTTAGCTCCTTTCTAGGCTTAGAGCAGGTATTGCTTCCCTCAAAAGGCCTCCTATGATTCTACTAGTCATTATTGAGTCATTTTAGTCCTGTCTGACTCTTCATGACCTCATTTGGGGTTTTCTTGGCAAAGACGCTGGAGTAGTTTGCCATTTCCTTCTCCAGATCATTTTGCAGATGAGGAAACTGAGGCAAATACAATTCAGTGACTTGCCCAGGATTACACAGCTAGGAAGTGTCTAAGGCCAGATTTGAACTCAGAGGGATGTCTTCTAGACACCAGGCCCGGGCTCTAACCACTGAACTATCCAATCTACTAATCTTAGTACTCTTTAGTACTCTATAATCAGCATTCAGCTAACTCTCCAATCACTTGTATTTATTTTGGCTGCATTCTGTATTTCCTTATCTGTGAACAGAAGCGCACATAGGGCAAGGACTAACTCAGTTTTGTCTTTTTGTTTCCGGTGTCTAGGTAATAAGTGCTTGGTCTGTTGACTAAAGGCAACAAAGATGTAAGAGGCTGTAGACTTTGCCTTATGTGGATTAGATGAAACAATTAGGAACATTTAAGCTTGAGAAAAGAAGACTTGGGGGAGAAGAGATATCATATAAAAGGAGAGAGTGGGGCAGCTAGGTGGTGCAGTGGATAGAGCACTGGCCCTGGAGTCAGGAGGACTTGAGTTCAAATGTGACCCTGGGCAAGTGACTTAACCTCAATTGCCTCCAAAAAAAGGGGGGAGGGGGACTAAATTTGTTTTGCATGTCTGTCTGTAGAGGGACAGACAGACTCTGTAGAGGGTAGACTTAGGAGCACTGCATGGGAGTTGGTTGCCAAGAGGCAGCGTTAGACTGTAAGGAAGAATGTCCTAAGAACTGGAGACATCCCAGTTGACATTGGCAGTTAGAAGTAGCAGGTTTCCCTTCACTGGAGATATGCAAGCACAAGCTAGATGACTCCTCATCCAGGGAGGAGTGGCCAGGGAAATTCTTGTTCCGGTATGACCCCCAGGCGTGCACCCAACTCTAAGATTCTGTGCGATGATGTGTACATGCATGACATAGGATGTCCCAAAAGTCTTAGGGGCATTTTAAGTTTCATATCTTTAAATTCTTTATTATTATGAGCCTTAATAGCTTAAAGCTTCACTAAGGCTTTTGGGTCACCCTGTATACTACAAGGCAGTATATGATGAATACCATGAAAGAAGTACTAATACAGTGGCAAAAGAGACCAGAGCAGGGAGAAGAACACTTCCTGCTGAGGGGTCCTAGGAAAATCTTTTGGTAGAGGAAGCATTTGGGATGGTTCTTGAATGAGGGATGGGATCTTGCCAGGCAAAAATAGGCAGAAGGTGAAAGGGTTACAGGCAACATAAACATGGAGAACGAAGGTGTGGAGTGAGGAGGCACCCAGGGAGCCTAGGGAGGACCCTGTCAGTATGACAAATGGGACAAGAGGAAACTTTGGGGGGGGGAAAGGGAGAGGTGAATGGCTCAGTTCTTAAAGTGCACAGGACAAGGGTTTGCCCAGAGCCTACCCCTTCACTTAAAGCATGAGAAGGGATGAGACAAGTGGTGTTTGGTGAAGCCCAAGGCAGCTGCTCTGCTCACCAGCTGCTTTCATCCATCTAGTGGAAGACCTAAGAAGGTAAGTAGGGGAAAGAGCTTGCTGGGGGACTCACATTCGTATAAGAACAACTGGCCATGTCCAGGATGATGCAGCCAAGAGACCAGATGTCTGATTTAGGGCTGAATATGAACTCAAGAGCTTCCGGAGCCATCCAGGACTTGAAAGTTGGGTCTGTTGGGAACAAGTTGGGGAAAACAGGGTGAGTTCTGGTGGCCCATCTTGGTGTAGAGAACTAAGCTCCTAAAACAGCCTTGGAAGTGACCTAGTCTACTGGCAATCTCCCACATCAGACACACCCAAAGAGAAGACCCCCAGCCCATATCACACTTGCTGCTACGGAGAAGGCTGGGGTGGGGCTGGATGGACGGACATCAACACTACCACACTGGGCCAGATATAGTCTAACTAGCCTAGGATGCTCCTTGTGACGGGGGCACCAGAGGTCCTCGAATCACAGAAAGTCAGAGCTAGAAGGTATCTTAGAAACGATCTAGTCTCATCTGATCATTAAAATATTGGTGAATTGGGATATATATTGTAAAAGGGCATAACCATCCTCCTTGCTATTACTTTCAGTGTCACAGATTAGAGACATCTCCCAGACATCCCATTTCCTTTACTAACCAGTTACAGACATCATGAAAAGAGGATAGTGTTCTGCCACTTACTAGCCCTATAACCCTGGGCTAGTCATTTTACAACTCTAGACTACTTTCCGCATCTGTAAAAGAGATAATAATCCCAGCCCTTCATATTTCATTTGTTATTACTAAGTTCTAGATCATATAATGGAGGTGAAAGTGCTTTGAGCACGTGAAGGTGCTATGTCAATATGAACGATTATTCTTGTTGTTGTTACAAATGCAGGGCCTAATACAGTATCTCACACATTAGCAAGTGTTCCACAAAAATTTGTTCATTGACTGAATGAATGAAATGTATCACACTAGCTGTGTGATCTTGGGCAAGTCACTTAACCTTGTTTGCCTCAGTTTCTTCATCTGTAAAATGAGCTGGAGAAGGAAATGGCAAATCCCAATATTTTTGCCAAGAAAACTCCTAAAAAGGGTCAGGAAGGATCAGACGTGACTAAAAAAAATGACTAAATAACAACTTCTCCAAAAGGTTAAGAATTTGTTGGCCACTGTCTGAGGTGGCTGTGCCCTGGGTGGTCAACAGAGGTTGCTTGAATAATCTCATTTGAAAGGAAATGGTGAATTCTTTCTCTTAGAGAATCATTAGATCTAGAATTGGAAGGGACCTCAGAGGCCCTCAGCCCAACTTCCCTATTTTACAGATCAATCAATAAACATTTATCAAGTGCCTACTATATTCTAGGTACTATGCCAAGCTTTGGGGATACAAAAAGGGGCAAAAGATAGTCCACACCCTCAAAGAGTTTACAATCTAACAGGGAAGACAACATGCAAACAAATATATACAAAGCAAGCTTTATACAGGATAAATAGAAAATAATTAAAAGCAGTGGAATTAGTTAACGCTTTCTATAGAAGGAGGGATTTTAGCTGAGACTTAAAGGAGACAAGAGAGGGAAGTAGACAGAGTGGAGGAGAATGTTCCAAACACGAGAGGCAGCCCAAGAGACAGAGTGTGTTGTCCGCAGAGTGTCCAGGAGCCTGTGTCACCGGATCGAACAGTACACATTGGACAGTGAAGTGTCAAACAACTAGAAAGGCAGGAGGGGGTTAGGTTATGGAGGGCTTTGAAACCAAACCCCAGAAAGGGGAAATGATTTACCAAAATCTCATAGGTAATTAGTAGCAGAAGTAGGACTGGAGCCCTGGTCTTTTAACTCCAAATCCAGGATGACTTCTTCTACATCATGCTGCCTCTAAAGTTTTGTCATTTGATTGCTGATGTTGTAACTTACACATGTGCAATATTTGATCAGCCATCGTATCTTTGTGTTCTTTTTTGGTGTGGTTAACATTGAGCTCTTGAACTGGATATATGGATAGCACTCAGCCTACCATCCTAGAAGCTTCATTTGTTGACTCAACAACTAGGCATCCACCACGTGTCCAAAAACCTGCCCCATAATGAGCTGGGCACACTTTGGCATTTGGAGAAGGCGATGGAACTTAGGGTTACTTTAGTTTGCCAAAACCCAGTCTGATTCCATTTTGAGCAATAGCAGTGATGTCTCCAGCAGCTCTTGAAAATGCTGGATATTGCTTCACAAAACCACTGGGGGCCAGGCAAAAACTACCTTCTAGGGCTCGGATCTTCCACTTTGCCTCATCTAGCATCAGAGTTTCCACACTCAAGTCCTCCAGCATGCAGTAGCTTTCACCTATCAATATGATGTTGGATGGTTTGATGTTCCTGAAATAAAAACGAGGGCACTATCTCTTCAAATTGCTTCTGGGTGCAGATAACAAAGCAACAGCAGCAGCAGCAACAGCTCACCCATCTCCACCCTTGTCCCTTGACCCACAAACCCAATACTCACATCCCCTTCTCTTTAAAATCCCATTAGGCTTATGGTATTTATTGAAGACAGAAGCCCTCTCTGCCATATAACTCACATATTTTTCTATTCTCACAAAATTTAGGCTCCCAAGAGGAGGCTGGTAGCACAGTAGATAGATAGAACACTAAGCATGGAGTAAGGAAGTCCCGAGTTCAGGTCCAGCCTCAGATGCTTACTAGCTATGTGACCCTAAGCAAATCACTTAATTCCTGTTTGCCTTAGTTTCTTCAGCTGTAAAATAGGGATAATAATAGCACCTATTTCCCATATTTATAAAAACACTCAGTACAGTGTCTAGGGCAGCTAGGTGGCTGGATAGACAGAACACTGGGCCAAGAGTTAAGAAGATTCGTCTTCCTCAGTTCAAATCCAGCTTCAGATACTTACTAGCTGTGTGACCCTGGGCAAGTCACTGGACCATGTTTGCCTCAATTTCCTCATCTGTAAAATGAGTTGGAGAAGGAAATGGCAAACCACTCCAGTGCCTTTGCCAAGAAAATCCCAAATTAGGACATGAAGAGTCAGACCCAAGTGAAATGACTGAACAACAACAGTGTCTGTCCCATAGTAGGTGCTATATACATGGTTATTCCATTCCCTTCCCCTTCCAAGGCTTTTGAGCTGAAAGGGACCTCAGCAGTCACCTAGACTTACCTCTTCATTTTACAGAAAGAGTTAATTGAGGCCCAGAGGAATAAAGTGCCTTGCCCAAGGAAGAAAAGCATTACAGTTAGGAATATTAAAGCTCATCTCTAAATACTGGCAGCTCTCAACCTCAAACTACATACTGCCTCACCAAACAGAGAGCAAAGATTACCAACAGGGCTTAATCTTGTTTGCTTGGATTCTTGTTATCTGGCATCTTGTACTTTAGAATAGTCCACGCCTGTCTGTTCACTTTGATGCAGGAGTAAGAAAAGAGCCCGGTTGCAAAGGTTACACTGATGACATTTTGCCTCTCTGCCTATTTCCCAGAGCTTCTTTGTTGTTTAGTCACTTTTCCACTGAAACATATGAGTTACCAACAATAGCGTTCTTCTCCTCTGTGTGGAGCCCAGAGAATCATGGACTTGAACCAACCTCCCTGCCTCCTTCAGACTCTGGCTGTTCTCCCAATCTCTCTTACCCATATGTTAGTCAACTACTTCAGAAGTGAGAGGCAGTTCATGCCATTGGAAAGAACTGATCTAGGGAGTCTAAAGAGCTGTGCTCAAGATACTAACTGTGCAACCCACGGCAATCCCTTGACCTCTCTGGAGATAATAATAGTTTAATTCCCTGCCTTATAGGATCTTCATGAGGAAAGTAAACTTTACAGGGCTCTACAAATGGAAATGATTATTTAGTAAGAAAGGAGCCACCTACAAAAAAGTCTAGAATTCCCAGTCACCTGTGAATCACATTCATCTGATGCAGGTATGCCACGGCATCCAATACCTGTCCCAGGAATTTTTCCATTATCTGAGAAAGAATCCACAGAATCACAGAGCTAGAAGAACCTTGGGAGAGGCCTTCCCTCTGTCTTCAGACAGGCCAGTGTCTAAACCAGCTGGGAGAGATGGTTGTCTCCTTTCTCCTTGGGACATATCTGAGGATTGACAAGGGCTAACAAGAAAAAACACAGAAGAACCAAAACCAGCTACTCTCTTTTTTTATAGTGAATCCATAGTATCTGTGTGACCAGGCAAATGAACATAGCTCAAAGGATCCTAAGGGCATGGTGACTACTCAAGACACTGGTGAAATCTGCCAAAAGAAGAAGGATGGTGTAGGTGCTACCTGTTTCACAGATGGACATGGTTTGATTTAATTAACAGCAGAGAGGAGCTACGCTCTGTCAAGCCTGATGCCCCCACCCCATATAAGGTTCTTGTTTCCCTTTTTACAGCTTATGGGCTGAGTGAGAAGGGAGGGAAGAGGTTCCAGTGGGCCTCCTTTAGAACGAGCTTCTCTAAAGGATTTTACCATTAGGTCCATTTTCTTCTTCAGGTCTCTATGTGCCGCAATCAGATCACTTAAGTTTCCTTTCTTTGAGTACCTCATCACCAGGCAAAGAAACAAGAGAGGAAATCTGCAAAAGAGAGTATCCCTGGTTTAGCACCAGTCCTGCCATGATATCCAGCATTTGGGATACAGCTTATATGTATAATGAGCCTTTGATCACAGAATCTTAGAACTGGAAGAGACCTTAGAATAGACTGTTAGAGATGGAAGGAGTCTTTGCAATGATTTTGTTTAGCTGATCATCGACCTAGAGATGGAAGAAGGAAACTAAGGGGACATCTAAGCCAACCCATCATTTGAAATTGGCCTAGAGAGGTTGTGACTTGTTCAAAGTCACACAGGTATTAAGTGTCCAAGGCAGGATTTGAACTGAGGTCATATGACTCTAGGACTGTTTCCATTGTACCACTCAGTCCCTCAAGATCCCCTGGTAGAGCTCAAAAATTCATCTGGTAAGCCATTTGCTGCCACCATTCATCCTTCTTTCCTATGACTCACTCTCCCAGGCTTGCTAGGATTCCCAGTAGGAAATAAGTTGGTCAATCAATCAATAAGTATTTAATTTAAAATGCAGTTAGCAATGGAACCCCTTTCCCAATCTGCTCAGGGATTTTACTGCCACATGTCTACCTTCCTCAGCATTCACCTCTCCTTGGTCCTCATCATTGGTAAGCAGTAAGTGAGTGGACAGAGGGACTGGGCCAACTTTGGGGGAAATTAAAAACAAGCTCCTCCTCACAAAAATAAGAGCTCCTTGATTTAGTCCAGTGGTCCTCAAACTTTTCCACAGTGGTCAAAGCTTTCAGGTTAAACAAAACTCTGTCAGGACCCTTGTAGTAAAATCCTCTGTAACTATTATTTTTAATGACCATTAGCAATCAACAGAAGGATCATTTAAAACAACAGCAATAACAAACTTGGGGTGTTTTAGGGTTCCTTGCAGCATGGTTTGAGAAATACTGAACCTGTCCAATCCCTTCACCTAAGAAAAGAAGAAATGACTTAGAGCAGAGGCAGAGCAGAGAGTGGCAGAATTGGGACTTGAACCCGTGTTTTCTGACTCCCAGTGCAGTGCTCTTCCCAAAACACCCTTCTGCCCTTCGGTACAACATAAAAAAATTCTACTGATCATCTGTCCAAACTTAGATGGGAAATATCTTGAATAAGCTAGTTTTCAATGAAAGGCACAGAGAGGCTTCCAGGCAGAAAGGGGGATTAGATCAGGGGAAAGTTGACATTCAATTCATGGCTGTCAGAAAGATCCAAGGTCATCCAGTTTCAGGCACTTACTAGTTGCCTGGGCAAGTCACTTGATGCCTGTCTCCCTTGGTTTCCTCAACTATAAAATGAGGATAATAACAGCACCTATTTCCCAGGGTTGCTGTGAGGACCAAGTGAGATAGTATTTGTAAAGAGCTCAGCACAGTGTCTGGCTTGTAGCAGGCATTACATAAATGCTCATTCCATCATGAAATTTAAGATACACTTAAAAAACAAACAGCATGCACATGTAACAGAAGTTAAAGGTTTTAGATACAATTCCCTTTTCTGTTCTTCGTATTTTGAAATGTCTGAGATTTTTGAGATTCTTAATTTCATAATAAAAAAAAATTTTAAGTTAACATGAAGTATAAGCAGAAAAGATTTGGAACCATTTTCTTAATCCTGGCAACTGAGAGTGGGCTTCTATAGTTTTGCTCCGGTCAGGGTGAAAAAAACTCTCAGATGTGAAATGCTAGAAAATGGCACCCCAGCTAAATCTAGTCAATCAGTCAGCAGACTAAGGGTCAGACGAAATGCTAAGGGCTGGGAACTCAAATGCAAGTGGAAAGACGGCCCCTGCCGCAAGAAGCTTACATTGTAAGGGGGAGAGACCACATATAAAGGAAAGTGGTAAAGCGGGGAGTATGTGGTTGAACTAGAGGGCTACCAGTCAAAGAAAAGAAAGTCCAGAGTCTAGTCAAGAGAAGAATAAAGACAATGAAGATATGGCTGGCCTGGGCACTCTCCTTAAATGGGGGTTCTAGGAGGACATCCGGAGGAGCTTGGTTTACCGCTCCTCTCTTTCAAAACTGGCCACAAAGCCCACTTCCCCCCAGAAGCCTACCTTGACTCACTAGGGTGGAGCCAGAGCTCTTCATGGTTTATCTTGATTAAGAGGTCTTTATTAAGTATCCTTTTAAGGATATTCAGAACTGGGCAACTTAGCTCCTCTACTCACAGAGCTCAGCACACTAAACCTGGCAGATTGCCTGCAGCCAATTCACTAACTGCTGTATTGCCCCTCCCCCCTCCTCAAGTTAGCATATGGTAAAGATCAAAGTTTAAGATTGGAAGACCAAAGTCTCAGAATATTTTGCCCTTCCCCTGGTTGGCTTCCAGGACCCAGGAAGTGTACTTTGCATTGGATTTGTTTGGTCCACACAGCCCATTAAACATTAAATCAGTCTGGCAAAAGGTTCAGGACTTTGACCTTTGAGGATGCTTAGAGAACTGGCTTGCCCTTACCTTATGGTTCCAGGCGATAAAGAGTTCTTTGTAAGTTGAGATGTGCAAGTGCTGAAGTTTCAGCAATGGCATCATCTATGGGGGAGGAAGCAGAAAAGGAAGCTAAAAGCAGTTACTCAGCATTCCTTACCAGTATCCTGACCAAAAGTGAAACAAAGCTAGGCCTTCCCTGCTACACCCCCCCCCCAAGTCATTTACTAAAGAGATAGTCAGAAAGAGAAATAAAGATATTAAGAAGAAAGAGAAGCACAGAGAGGAGAGACAGAGATTAAAATAGAAAGACTGAGGAGAAAAAGAGAAACAGAGATAGACAGGAAAGGCAAATGAAGATTCAGAAGGGCACTTTAGAAATACAGTCTCTCTTGCTTATGAACCCTTGACCTGCACCCCAATGACCTGTACATACGAAGAGATGCCAAGAGAGGTTTGATATGAAGCTCTTTCCTCCAAAGCCCGTGGGGGAGAACTGCTCTTAGCTTTCCTGTATTCTCTTACAAAGAGGTGATGAGAGTTAACAGATTGCCCACGTCCTGGGATACATATCTTTCTCTACCCCAGTGGAGTCTCGGTCTCCATTAACAGGGAGTCACAGTATTTAGAGTAAGATGGACAGTAGTCTTTTTCCTCTTTGCAGAGCAGACCACCAGAATAAGACATCCATTTCTGGATGCCACACTGTAGAAAGGACATTGACAAATTCAAGGTAGAGGAGCATGGACAGTGAGCAGACTAGAGCTCATGCCCTATGTGGATCATTTGAAAGAAATGGACTTGCAAAGAGAAAGCTTATGCAAATTTGCTCATTCTCTTCTAGTATGTGAAGGGTTGTCATGTTAGAGGCAATGTAACTTAATACTTTTTTGCCTCATAAAAAGGCAGTGACCTAGTACCGTGAATAGAAAGCTGTGCCTTCCTCTGACCCATCCAGGCATTTTGACCCTGGGCAAGGCCCTTAATATCTCAATACTCTAATAAACTCTAAATCTATACAATTACACGGAGAGAGTTCTTTCATAGGATCAAGGGAAAGTAAGGGAAATGGGATAAGCATGTATTGAGCTGTTCGTGTGCCAGGCACTGTGCTAAGCACAAGCAATGAAATCACAGAACCATGACAATCCCATCATGTAATGAGATTTTATGATACCTTTTATTTGAAGAATTGGCAAGCTTCTTTTTTAAAAATTTGTTCTCATACAATAAATAAACATTTGAAGGAACAAAGGAATGAATAAATGCATGAAGGCAAAAAGTATTAAATTACATCGCCTTGTCTTCCTCCATCCCAAATGAGATTTTATATATCTATGTTCCATTTTTATTTTAGTTTCATTTTGCCAAAAAATGCAAAAAACAACACCCCCCCCCAAAAAACCCTCAATGTAGCTATGTTGGTTTTGGACAAACAAAATAAACTTAGTAGATTTTTGCTGAAAATAAAATTAACTGAACAAATTATTAAATATGTTATGTTAATTTAATTTAAATTATTAAAATCTCACTTTATTTTTGGAAATTAATTTCACCTATAAAAATAATCCTCCTATAAACATATCTTTGTCCACTAGTTACTAGATTTTAATATGATCATTAATTTTAATATATTTTTATTTATTTTGTTAAATATTTCCCAACTATATGTAAAAAATTATAACATTGTTTTAAAAAATTTTGAGTTCTAAATTCTCTCCCTCCTGTTGTTGTTTCTTCTAAAGCATTACTTGTCTTGTCCTTAAAAGTACAGTACCTATACTTCCTATTTTGTTTGCCCTTTTCCCTCAGCTCCACTCCTCACCTCCCCCCCTAGAAAAAAATTTAAAAGGTCATAAACATAGTTACCTCCTCAAGGGCATCATTTGCATGTTGTTCATCAATACACTCCACCTAAACAAATGAAAAAAAAGCAATAGATAATATTATCACCACTGGTCAACATCACCCAGTCCTGACTATCTCTGTGATTCTGGGCTAGGATCTGGATGTAGAGAATCACAAAATCTGTATCTTCCTTCTCCTTAATGCTGTCAATGGGCCATAGGTCATAGGATTTAGAGTTGAAAGGTGCTTTGTTGATCATCCAGTCTGAGTTCTTTATTTTATACAAGAAACTGAGGCCCAGAGAGGGGAGGTAACTTGTCCAAAGCCACACAGGTAGAGTGACTGGCAGAGTCAGGATTCAAACTGAGGTCCAGGGTGTACATCTTGTTTATTAATTTATTATTTATTATTGCATTATTAAATTACATATTATTAAGTTAATTTCTAGATATTAATTTATTAATTCACAAAAGATGGTAATGCAAGCAATGGCTTAGAAACAGTGAGGCTGATATTTTACCAAAAATGCTTTGGAAACTGGAGTGAGCAATGAAAAGAAGAGAAAAACTGACACCCCCCCCCCAACCCCTTCCACCCCCGGGATGAATTTCATAAGGTTCCTGCACCTTGGTAGGGATACCACAAGCCCCAGGGTCTGGTCATCAGCTCTGAAAGCAGAGAAACTTCTTTTCATCAGTCCACCTGGAGGTGAATCAGGCCCTGCTTCATGCCAACAAAAACTCACGAGGCACCAAAGACACCGGCTGATGAGTGAGAATGCCAGCTAATTAGCATCAGTCGATTTAGTCAAGGGACATCATCATGGAGGAGAGGGTATTAAATGAACTGTAAAGGTGCATCCAGGCCAGGTGACTCATTTATGAGGAGCAAAACAGGCCATCTGAGTGAGGCAAAAGGGAACAACACAAAACAAACAATGATGGGCATGACTCCTGGTAATCTCGAAAAATCCGTCTAGGTGGAAGACAGATTCCAAGAAGAACCTAGCTCTTAAAACGAACAGAAGACACAGGGAGCTGAATAAAGGAGGCCACCAGAAGCCTTTGAGGAGCTGTGGGGAAATAAAATCTCCCACTTACATTAATTTATACAAAGAAGATCAAAGATTTAGAGCTAGAAAGGATTGTAGGGGATGTCTAGTCCAACCCTTCACTTTATACACCATGGAAATCATAAATTTAGAGTTAGAAAGGACCTTAGAGGCCATCACGTTCAATTCCCTCATTTTACAGACCAAGAGAAGTTAGATGACATGGTCTGAAAAATAGTAAGAGGCAGAGTCAGGATTTGAATACAGCTCCTCCAACTCCAACTGCAGTATTCTTTCCACTAAACCCCAGTTGTTCCTGTGGAATTGCCAGTTGGCCTAAAAAACTTACACCTATTGATCACCACAAAGTCCAGTTAGGAAAACCAAATTAATATCAGTAAGTGGCTTAGTAAGATCCAGAACAAAGAGTTAGATGACTTTAAGAGGTATCTTGGCTATTGACGCCTTGGTCTCCACTGCTGGGGTTGACTGGTGAAGGGCTCTCACTCCCTACTGGATGGTGCTGGACAAACTCTGTTTGACACCACCTCAACTCTCTAGTTCTCCTTTCTCACTATTCTTTATCGGCCACCCCAAACTTTTGTTTTTACAACACTTCCTCAAGCCAGAGTATTTCGGTTTTCAAGACTACAATCCACGTCCCCTTGTTAAATTCATTTTAAATAGATGCCTTAAAAGGATACACACACACACACACACACACACACACACACACACACTCACACATGCTCTCGTGCACACACATACATATACACACTATATATATATTATATTATATATGTATATAATATATATTTATATATAAAGACATATACACCCTTAGTCTTACCCTCAAAGACCCTAGTTATGAGTCATTTTTTGGTAGTGGGGGGGTGTGATGATGTTCTTTGTCTTTTGGCTAGCTGACCTCATTCGTTCCCAGTTGGTTATTACTGACTTCCATTCCACTGGGTGACAGTTTCTGACTTCATTCCCTGATCTTTGAGGTGCCCATTCTTTGGAGCCCCAATATACTGATTCCAGAAACTAGAACTTACAAATAAACAGCAACATATGAGGTGCTTTAAATATTGCCAAGTGCTTCACATATATGGGGTGTCCCAAAAATATGTATGCAGTTTAAAACTACTGAGGCTCATTTGATCTTCCCAACAACGCCATGAGATAACTGCTCTTATTCATCCTCTTTTACGGAAGAACAAACACAGTCTGACAGGGTCAGTTAGCCAGTCATTAAGCACTTAATCTTACAAGTGTGTCGAGCACTAAGCTAAGTGCCAGGGATGCAAAAGAAAAACAAACTACGGCTCCTGCCCTCAAGGGGCTGACATTCTAATGGGGAGACAATAGTAAAAGACTTTACATACAAGAAAAATACAGTGCAAATGGAAGATAATTTCAAAGGGAAGGCACTAGAAGCGCTACTAAATTTCTGAGACAAGCTTTCCTGATTCCAGGTTCACATTCAAATCACAAAAATTGCCCCTTTTAAAGTAGCCACTTGAGGAGTCTGTATATCCCTCCAATGTTACAAAGAACATTGCTTAAAATATTTTGTGACCTTCTTGTGGTGTCGCCTTCAGGGCCTCTCCCATGCTGTCTAGCATCTTCTCTCTGGTGGCAAATCTTTAGTAGTGGAATTTGTTTGGGGACAATAGTCCAAATTCCTGACTGGTGAATATGACAAGTAATTGCTGGCTCATATTATTTAGAGTCAGAAACCAAAACAAAAATCCATCACACATGGGCAGGTTGGTGGCGCAGTGGATAGAATAGTGGCCTTGGACTCAGGAGGACCTGAGTTGGAATCCGGCCTCAAACACT